CCATTTTAAAATGATACATTCGATGTTTAAAAATATCCACAAAAAAGGCTTCGGCGCAGCATGTATATGACTCATCTTTTTTGTGGGACGGCAGGATACGATGGATATTCTCAACAAAGTATAATAGCCAGACTGAATTTCTGTTTATGGAAGAAGCCCAGCCTTTGACTTAACCTGGGAGAAAAAAACAACAGAAACTGTGACTGATGCAACCTGAGGGGGACTTCAATTACTTCAACGCCTCTTATGCTATTATGCTACTGGTAATCTAACTGCATGTATCCGCACATAAAGGAGATCATATGACAGCTTTGCGGGTGCCAAATTAGAATATGTTTAGGGATTTCTAACCCACACACTGTATGCTTATTAAATGGGCTTTACTTACCGTGAAAACGCTGAAAGTATTCTTAAAAAATTAAAACACAAAATGCTTTAAACCATAAATAAACCTGAGGAGGACTGCTTAAGAAAACAGGGCAGCCTTAGTTATGCAACATTCATAGAGTCTGACTATCTGAAAAGGTAAAAGGCGTGCGGGTGTGTGGCTGGTTCCCTGCATCCAGCAGGATTGCAGCTTTAGCCTTAGAACTGGATGCTAATCTTCTGTAGAATTCAGCGCTGCTGTTGCTGTTGCCACCTGGTCCCTGGCACAGCAGCACCTTTACTGTAAGCTCCTCTTCGGACCATACAAAATGGGCTTATGGCACATGCAAACACACTTTATTCTTTGTCATGAAAAGAGACTTTCCTCACATTCTCTGGCCTTTTTTTTTCTAAATCCAGTGAGCTTGTTGCTGCGATCAGTAAACAAGTGAGGATGCCAACTCCTCACTGTTCAACCCACAGATTAGCTTGTGTTGTGAAAAAGCCATATGAAGTGAGTTATGCTGGGAAATAAAATATTGCCCCTGAAGTTAGCAAACTGTAGGTCAGTTTTGATCACTTCCTCTGGCGATTCATGGGTGATGATGATAAACAGGATTAAGGCTTGAAAAGATTAGAGTTCCTCACAAGTTGGAGCATCGCCATCGGCACAGCAAAGTGTGGTATGTTTATTTTCAATAGCGGGCCTGAGGAATTTAGAAATCTAATCTCCTCCTGCTGCTTAACCCCCTGCTGTTGGTTATTTTTGACTACAGTTACTGAAATAAAATCAGTTAAAATTACAAATGAAAGTGATTTCTTGCAAACACAAACAAATTAAACCTGAATGATATTTTCCCCTAATGCTGAGCCTGTTGTAAAAGGTGCATACAAGACCAATTCATTAGGTTTAAATAATAGACCTCCTTTCAAAGTGGTTTTACCACTTTTAGGCCTGAGTAAAACATCCTTTGATTTTTAACATTTGTAAATGTAAACCACTGGTTTACATTTGTTAGTGGCGTCAAAAGTACACACATTTGTTACTTAAGTAGAAGTATAGATACTGCAGTTTAAAAACACTCTGGTGAAAGTATCAACTTGACATCTTTACTGAAGTAAAAGTGAAAAAGTATGTGCTCCAAAAACTACTTAAAGTATAAAAGTATAAAGTAACCTTTTAAAAAAATCAAACCAGATGCCACTGTATGAATTGAAAACTCAATTTTACGACTATTTTGAAAAATTCTTAGAGAAAGGGCCAAGGAAGAGGGAGGTCTTGTTGGTCTCCATCTCCCGATACGCTCTGGCCTGTGTCCGACCTTTCAGACATTTCAACATCTTTTTCTGAATCCTACATTGTAGCATGTTTGCAGTTTGAAGAACACCTGCTGCTTCTGATGATTTCCTTTAGCTAACCAATGAGTGTTTGCGTTATATGACTCATCTAATTACTCTAGTTTTCACTAGATATGGATGGAGCCAATGATCTGCATTGGATGGCGCACATGACGTGAAATAAATATTTATAAACATAAAACCGAAGCCAAGAGTAACGAGTAATATTTGTTTTAAAAATGTAAGGAATAGAAAGTACAGATTCTTGTGTGAAAATGTAATGAGTAGAAGTCAGAAGTAGGAAGAAAAATAAGCAATGGAGTAAAGTATAGATACCTAATGAAGTAACAAAGTATTTGTACTTCGTTACTTGATACCTCTGACATTTGTAAATGTAAACCAGTGGTTTTAAAAGAACAGCACACAGGTAAACTGGGATGCTATGATTGGTAGGTTATTGGTGTGGTTTTAACTTTTCTAGCCGCCCTAAATCAGATTCTACTTAGGTCCCCATATAAATTTCAGCCAGTTCATTTTGCATTGATTGTTCTACTTAGTGAAAATTTAAACATGCATTATATGTTACAAGAGTCTGGAAACAAGAAAAAAAACCCCAACACATTATGAAATGTAAAGGAAAAACAGTTTGACGCAACAAAGAGAAAAGTGTCTAATTTCCCCTTTTGAAGAAATGTGACTCGGGAGAAGGAAGAGTGCTTCCTGTCAGTTCCTGTAAATGTACTTTGTCGAGCCAAGACATAATGATATTTTAATGCATTTTGACCTTTGACTCCCAGGTGCTTACACCAGTGGCCCCTCCTCACCATCAGAGAATCTTTTTTATTGCAGCTTCATGGACTTCAGATGTCACCGCTGGCTGCAGCAAGAAGCGTTCAGGAAGGCTTGTAATCTCTCCAGCAGACGGTGGGTGTGTTTGGTGGCGGAACCAACACGTGATAGCAGCCTTATGATAGGTCTGATCATTTTAAACCAAGGCGGGACCATTTGAGTTTATGGCTTTATGTTATGTCAATCTTTTTCGATTATGCTGCTTTCACTGACCTTTCTATAGTATTTAAAATAGTTAAAGGTAGCACTGTTTGAAACGCTCCTGCAAATGCACTCTGTTAAAGGTACATTTCTTTATACATATGTTTCAACCGGATGTTTAGTTTGAGCTGTTAATCCCTTTGCTTTTCCATCTTTATTTATTAAATAATTGAATGACTCAATGTTGTTGTTGACTGATCATTTTCATTTCTTTGGTAGGACTTTTTTTTTTAAGTAAAATTAATTATTTTCTACAATTCAGTCACATTTTTCTGATCTATGTTGAAAATAAACACAAAGGTAATTAAGATATCAAATCTAATATATTTCCAAAACAAAAGAATGGAAAAATTGTTATCTGATATTATTTTAGGCAGCAGTATTAATCACAATATTAGTAAACTCTTCTAATCAGAATCGAACATATTTTTTAGGGTAATTTGTTTTTACTGCAGTGTGCTGCAGTTATAAGAGCCAGCCCAAAGCATAAACAAACTAAAATGCAAATGAGTGACCATGTCAATTTGGCTAATGAGACTTTTTCCTGAGTATAACAGTTTGCCATTTTTATAGCATTGAATCCTATTTGTTTTTATATTCCATCTGTTCATTATATATTGCTATATAAATATATATTTTACATATTTAGCTACTTGGACAGTAAACATTTAACAATATAAATACAATTAAAATAAAACACATTACAAAAATGACTGTAAAAATCTCCATTAAAGATGAACTTTAAATGTTTTATAAGTAAATAGATGAACATGGATGTTGTGGTGATTGATGGTGCTTCGAGGGACCTCTGAAATAAATTAGTTTTGGGGCCCAGGCATGCACAGTTTTAGACAGGGGCCAACAAGTTCCAGTGCCACTGTAGAACTGGTCCCGACCCTTGTAGTAAAGACATAACACTAAATAAATATATGATGAATAATGGTATGTGCTGGTAAAGATATGGTAAATGACAGATCCCTTGGAGCAGTTTTAATTTTTATAGTTTTAATATAATAATGAGAGATGAATCAAGTTGTTGTCATTTTAGCTTAAATCCTATTGAGATATGATCACGGCTTGCATCTACTATATGGCTTTTGGTTCAGTTCATATTTCAAACATTGAACCATCACCCCCTGAACTCATAAATTTAATCTTGAACCCAGAACCCATTGAACTGCTCTTGGCAGTGTTAAGGATAGGCTCTGTCTCTGCACCTTGACGTTCTATCTCTCCGGTTCTTTCCCTGAAAAGAGATCACTCAGGACAAACTCTTTAAATAACATTTCATATGCATTAAATAACCAGGAGACATAACAACAGATTCTGATAGAAATTTTAATCTTACTCAGATCACAGAAGTTACTTAGAGTTTCCAGAAGGCAGCCGCTCTCCTCCAGGCTCACCTCTCAGGAAGTGGCCCCGATTAACAGTTAAAAAGGCATTTTATACAGATTATAACTATATATCCAGACAGAGGAACTGTCTTAATTAGATTAACTATTGTGGAAAACATCAGTTCTGACACACAACAGGCAACTAATATTAAGATCACACATCATCAATAATTATACTAACAGAGAAGGATTTAATCACATAATTTTGCTAAAGCATGCCATTGGTAGAGTTGTAGGCAGCCAATAAGCTGAAAGTATATTTTTGAGAGTTTGGCTAATGAAATATTACTACCTAATCTGATTTAGGTTTCAAGAAACCACATTTAAGCATATGCTTTAGCAAAATTATGTGATCCTTCTGTGTTAGGATAATTATCATCGATGATGTGTGAGTTTATTACACCTTGGTATTGGCTACCTCTTGTGTGTCAGAACTGATGACAAAAATATTATATCATGCACATACATAAATATTTAAAAAAAAGTAATAAATAAATAAAGTTGAAGATTATAATGGACAATAAATAAATAAGGTAATCATTACAAAGGCGAATAAATAAATAAGCTAATTAAAAGAGATATATACATTTATGTCTCACTGTATAATTGAATTTCTACCTACAATTATTTGTTTATTGTATTTTGGGGGGGGGGGAATTAATTGTATGCTTAATTATTTATTGAGCATTTATTTATTTATTTCTTTAATTATGGCAGAGTTGGTCCTCCATATGAGCGAAAGTAAATAAATATATTGGAAGGTAAGGATTTGGTAGAGGCCATCCCACATTTCCGACAGCCCTTAAACGCATCGCCACCCCCCTCCGGTGCGCTCATTCAGCTCGATCACCCAGAGCTGCGCTGTGGCTGCAGAAAGGCGCACATATGCTGACACTTTAAACAGGATGTAGCGACTGAAGCAGACCACGGAAAGAGAGACAGAAGAAGAAGCAAAAAAAAAGCGGATGAATTAATGTAATGTGACAAACAGCAGACTGACAGAAATGACCGCTTCAGTGGAGGAGAGGAAGAAGACAAGAGGAGTCCCGGTGAGGAGGCGCCTCACCGCCGCTGGCAGGTCTTGACGCCCGGTGACCTGAAGGAGCCAAGCCGCCGCAGTGAGCAGCAGCACGGCGATAAAAAGCACGGACGGCACAACCGGAACAGTCCAAAACAACCTTGAGAGCGAGCATGGCGAGCCTGAACGACTGCTGCGTGAAGGTTGCGTTGAGGTAAGCCTCCGCCGTCTGTGCGCTGCTGGGAATCTGCAGACTTTAGCAGACCACATTGTGTCTGCGCCTCCGGTTCACTCCAAATTCATCATTTCCATCCCCTAAACGCACCTGCGTGTTTCAGCTGAGCGGAAGATTACCCAGACATCCATATGTTGCTTTGCCTCACATGGGTGGTGCTCCTCACTTTATTGATAAGGGGAAACGTGTCTGTGTCATGCGATCTTTATAGGACTGATTTCGGTGTGCAAACCCCAAAGTTCCTCTAAGCGTTGGTCAGGTGGCAGGGGAAACTGGAGGTTGCATTTAGGTTTGGACACTGGCTGAAGTGAGGAGAAAGGACAGCTGCAGCCAGGTGCAGAGAGGACAATGGGCGTTTCTACTCACACCGGTTATAGTTGAATCATCTCTACAGACCTCTGCCCTGCATTTTCACCTTGTATCCAGTCAGCCTGCACATGTGCATGGCAGAGTCTGTGCTTATTTCAGGCATGGTGATAAAGTGAAGACTGCTTTCACGCTGCTTGGCTTTAGCACAAAGAGATGCTCACCCAAACCTGTGCCACCCACCTATTGTGTGGAAAATCCAAGCATTTAAGCTTCCTTTCTATTTTATTACAATGGATGATTAAAATGATTGCATATTTAAATACGATCATATTAATGTTCCTTTATGTCTTGGCCCTTGCAGGGTAGAAGCATCTGAAATTGGCAGGCAGGATCCACTTCTGGCTTTGTCTGTTCTTTGTAATCCGGCTCTTTTAAGAACAATCTGCTGATATGACAGACTGCAGTCCTTTTAACTTTGACTCACCTGTTTTACATTCTTAATTCTAATTTAAACAGAGGCTTGTGTTTTGGGGGGGTTGAAACACACATGACAATGTAAAGTCACTACATGGGTTTCTGACATGCCATGTGTCTCATTAGTGCTGGCTGACTACACAGCCCTGTTTTGTACTCCCTATGTTCTCTCTGATTTGATCAAAGAGCTGGTTCTGGGTGAAGGATGGAGCAGCCATTGGTTTGTCGGGTACTAAAACCTTGTCCACTGTAGCACTTGATTGTCCCTGTACCATCGATATGTTTACACGAAGGGATCCACATGCAAGCCTGCCTGTTTTTGACCCCCTGTTGTCATAGTAAATCTTGTATGCCTCACAAATATCGTTGATTCAGAGGAATGTAAGGCTGTCGCTCAGTTCCCATGTTGGCCAGTAAGGTAACCTATTGTTGCTTCTCAGACCACACCAGTTTTGCTTCTTTTCTAGCTTGTAAACTCTTTAAAGCATCTTTTTTGTTTGTTTATTTTTTACAGTTTGTAATATTTGTCTGATAATTGCATGACTGATGCAGAGCAAAATGTGTTTCTGTAAAATGCAATATGCAGAGAAAATATATTTTTTTTATGTTTTAGGTTCTGTTTCTTTCTGCGTGGAATTTGCATATTCTCCCTGTGCATGCGTGGGTTCTCTCCGGGTACTCCGACTTTCTCCCACAGCCCAAAAACACCTTCTCCTTAGGTGTGAGCGTGTGCATGAATAGTTGTTTGTCCTGTTTGTCACTGTATTGCCCTGCGATGGACAGGCAGATGGGATATAGTGTGATGGAAAATAGATGAATGGATGGATGTTTCTGTTGAGCAAATTTTTATTTTTGTACACACAATATTCTCCTAATTGGAAATGTACCTACAGTGAAGCGACTATAACCCAACAGATGTAGACATCTGTCTAAGGTTTGATGCTAGGTGGAAGGGATGCGATTCTGCTGGTCATAAACTTAGAGCAGCATTGTGAGTTTTAGCAAACTCTTGTCAAGGGCCAGTTTAAGGTACCCTGATTAAACTCTGTGGGGAGGCCTGAGAGTGGGAGGGGAAGCTGTGCTTCTGCAGTGCTGCTTGGTGTAGCTGAGACTTAAAACAAATGGCTCCATTCCCCTGGGGGAGGTTTCGGTCTCTGTAGCCGGCCGCTGTGTGAATCTCTTTCTGCTTTTTCACACCGCCAACTGCAACAGGAAGTGGAGTTGATTCTAGTGAAAATGAATATAAGGCTTAAAGAGAAACTTAATCTACAACCAGTGGGCCGGGCATAGATCGATCAGATTTGATCCAGATGTGTATTAAGACACCCTGAAAGTTGAAATTGAGTACAATCCACCCACAGAGGTGCAGAAACCAAAGAAAACCGTTCAATTAGTTTAATTAAGATGGTTCTTAGCAGAGCTTTTGTAATTTCATGACTGGTTTCGTTTTCAAGCTCCGTTTCATCATGAGTGACCTATATTTATCCACGCTGTGAGTGGCACACAAAGTGTCTGTGTCTTTCACAGGAAATGGGAAACAGGCAAATAAACACATGTATAAGGATAACTTCCCGCATTTACCCCAACCCCCCTCCTTTAACAACCATCTGAGCCTCTTTTTCTTCCCAGAGAAAGCCGACTGCAGATAAGAGGGGCTGCTGTATAATTACTCCCATGTTTTGCTGCGTGTAGACTCACTAGTTTGATGCCTTGGTTTATAGGTCGATGGGGTCATCATCAGACCGAAGCAGCACTCTAAGTGAAGTCACAGACGTCCGCTTCCTTAGTGTGCGCTCTCCATTCCCTAAACAATGTCCCTTTACTCAGCCATGTGGCCTACAATCCTGCTCTCAGACCTGACTGCCTGAGGGAGGGATTATTCACACTGCATCTGCAGGACCATCATGTCAGACATGATCACATGCAGCCGATGTTGCAGTTAATTATTTCAAAAAATGCATATCCAATTTTTTATTTAATTCTGTCTCAATTCAAGTGTTTATTGTTTTAATTTAAGCAGATTATTGGGAAACACAGATATGGATAAAAACCACAGCGAGGGCATCAGTTGCAAAGGAAAACGAAATAAAAGGCCTGAAGACACCAAACATGATTTGTAGTCCAATCCCTCTGAAGAATGCGTGTGGTCACGATTCTTTGCAGCTGTGCTTGCGATACCCCAACGATACTTTGACGTCAATATAAATGATAAACGATCAATAAGACATTTAAATAAAGAGAATACTTTACCCATGATTGGAGCTCGGGAGAGCAGAGAACAATATTTATCCTGATTTTAAAAAGAACAAATGTGGAACAACATGAATGCTTAAGAGGGCTTATCGCCATCCTCTCTCTATGAAATTGAAAAAAAAAAATGAAATTCATATTCAAATTTCTGGAAGAGCACCTGTATCCACTTAGGACTTGAAAATATTTAAAATATTATTATATATAACGTTATAAATAATAACTGGGACATGATATTTCATATACAGTACGGAGTATCATTACAGCATTTCTCACTGACTGATGTTCTGGGTTTTCAGTCGTTTTATTTTTTATTTTTTTTTAAATACACTACATATGACAACAAGATCAATATTGATGAGTATGCCATGGCTGTGTCAGCCTACATTAACAAATGCATTGAGGACATTGAGGATCAGAACCACAAAGGCTACGTTCACACTGCAGCCTGAAGTGACCCAAATCCAGCTATGTGGTCCTGAATCCGATACGAATCTGATCTTTTCAAATCCGACCTGTGTGTGAACGGCCAGGTCGGATTTATCCGACCTGAACGTCATTGATACCCGATAAAGGTCACTATTCTGCGTCTTGCTATAAAGAAGCAGCAAGAAAACAACAACCATGGCAGATGATGATGCGAAGAGCAGTATTTATGTTTAACCATATTGAAACGATTTAGTTTTTATGGTTGGAAAAGACCGCTAGATGCGCTCCGGCACTACCATCCATGTTTACTTCTGGGAAAAAAAAAAGAGCACGCTGGCGTGTGACGTCATTGCGTCCTCTACTGCGCATGCGGGACACTTGCGTTTTATCACTGCAGTTCACACAGGAGATCACATACAAGTCGCATATATTTGGAAATATGAACGGAAACGGAAAAAAAAATCGGAATTGAGCATCAAGGCCTGCAGTGTGAACGTAGCCAAAGAAAATCACCACCCTGGTCAACCAATGACCATGGATGAACGGAGAGGTTCAGAAATCGCTAAAAGAAAGGAACACAGCTTTCAGGTCTGGTGACAGAGAGGCACTGAGGACAGCGCGTGCCAACTTGAGCCATGCCGTCAGATCAGCGAAGCAGAATCGCAGCCGAAAAATCCAGGATTTCTTCCACGATGCCAGCAACATTAGGAGGAGGCAAACGGAAAGGCAAACGGGCAGTAACTGATTACAACACACCCTCCCCCCGGTAGATGCAGCAAACACTGACTTTCTAAATGAACTAAACAACTTCTTTGGAAGATTTGAGGCACTAAAAAGCACTCCAGCAGTGAAAGCCGTTCCACACCAGGGAGAGGAGGCACAGCTGACACAGCTGACGTGTGGAAGACTCTGAGGAGAGTCAACCCAAGAAAGGCCGGACCGCGATAACATATTGTACCTGGGCGGATGTTCAAGGAGTGTGCAGATCAAGTGGGTGGTGTCCTCACAGACATTTTTAACACCTCACTGGATCAATCCATAGTGCCAGCATGCTTCAAGTCTGCCACCATTATTCCAGTCCCAAAAACGCCTCAGGTCACCTCACTCAATGATTACCAGCCTGTCGCACTGACTCCAATCATGATGAACGCCATCTCTGCTGCTCTTCACCTGAGCCTGGCACACCTGGAAAAAGAACACCCATGTGCGGATGCTGTTCCTGGACTTCAGTTCAGCTTTCATCACCATCATCCCACAGCATCTGATGGGCAAACTGGAACAGCTGGACTTCAATACAACCCTCTAAAATTGACTGTTAGACTTACTCACCAACTCCTCCTCAGAGAAGACAACGACCAGAACAGAGAGGAGATGGAGCAGCTGGTGGACTGATGCAGAGAAAGCAGCCTGATTCTGAACATGGAGAGGAGGAAGGAGATCATTGTCAAATTCTGGAAGAACCGGCCTAACCACGCTCCACTGCTCATCAACAGCTTAGCTGTAGAGGTGGTCAGCAG